CCTACAGTAGCTGACATGGTCCAAGAGAGAAGCAGAATTTCCAGCTGCATCAAGGATCATCTCGCGAAGACTCAACAGAGGATGAAGCACTTTGCGGACCAGCACAGAATTGAGAGACACTTTGATAAGGGGGATTGGGTGTTTTTGAAGCTGCAACCATATAGGCAACAATCTGTGGCAATGAGGAAATGCCTCAAGTTGGCTGCAAAGTACTATGGTCCATTTCAGATAGAGGAGAAGGTGGGAGCAGTTGCCTACAGGCTCAAACTACCTCTAGATGCAAGAATTCATCCGGTGTTCCATGTTTCGCTGTTGAAAAAGAAGCTTGGGCCACTTAAGAGTAGCTCTCCTTAGTTGCCAGAACTGGATGAATGTGATCAGTGTCCACTAAAACCAGAGGTCATTTTGAAGAGGAGGGTTATCATGCGCGGCGAGAGGCCTGTCATACAGTTTCTGATCAAATGGGACCATTTGAGTTATGATGAAGCTTCATGGGAGGACAAGACATTCATTGAGAGTCAGTTTCCTGCGTTTCAGACTTGAGGACAAGTCTGCCTTAATGGGGGAGGAATTGTTAGGCATCGGGTAATTGGGTCAGAAGTTAGGAAATTGGGTTAGCAAATTGGGTTAGTAATTGGGGAGATTAGGACACTGAACGGTGTAGTTCCAATTAATGAGGGTTTCAGGGGAATTATGGCGGTGCAATTGTTAGTTTAGGCAGTTAGTAGCGTATCAGCAGAGAAGTAATAAAAGGGGGCCCACACATGTACAGTCGGTAGGCAATAACAGAATTCAATTGCTCTTTTTCATTTCTCTTTCTTTCTTCTACTCACTTTCCACTCTCTCGCACTCTGTCTTCATTCTTCTTTCCTTGATAATTAGATCGGTCTGAGTGAAATTGCAGCTCAGACCCTAACATTTCCACAACTGCCGGGCAAGTCAGCCCCGCAGCCAAACCTTTCAGAAAAAAAAAAGAGAATTCTCCTACCTGGGTAGGCATAGTTTTATACTGCAATGTTGGTCTGACTGCAATATTGTCAGACCAACATTGTTCCCACTTTTTTTTTCGGCAATAATAAGAGCAATTAGCCCTATTTCACCCCACTGGCGCATAGTTCTGCGGAGTTGGCGATGCGGAGTATTGTGTACCACAAAACCACCAAGATTTGACAGCACCGCAGTCCGTCAGCTACAAATGACACCTTTAATTTCAGTGATCGTCTAGTTGTCAGCTTCACGTTTTATCTCCCTATATAAGGAGTTGTAGCTTCACCTTAAATAACCTTTTATTTTATCTCCCAATTTGTAGACTAGTTCATAGGGTCAGCTTCACCTTAAATCACGTTTTATCTCCCTAATTTCAGTGATTGTCCTGTCAAGTACATATTGACAAAGTCTTTTCAATTGTACCAGACATTTCTAACCTCATATCTCACTGGAAGAGGGTCAGGAACGGCTGCAGAAACCATTTCGGGCAGTTCTTAGTTTAGATTTGACTAAAAAAAATATAAGATTAAGATTTGATCTTGTATCTCATTTTTAATATTATATGTGAGATTCTTAAAATTTTGTTATATAATTATACGTTATTAAAAGTGAATTATGTCATGTGCAGACAGAGTTACGTGATTTGCATTTTGTCTAAAGCTACCCCAACTGTTTTTTCTGGTAACCGTTCGCCCCTGTTCCATCTCACTGGCTTTTGATCAAAAGACATCCACTCCCAAAACCACCTAGCAACCACGTCAAAGCCAATCATCACCAAAAATTGTAGTTCCCCCTTGATTTGCTGAACTAATTTTCTATCTTTTAGTAATTGTTTTGAAATGGACTCGCAAATGGAAGAATAGATAGAGTTTCATAGTCAACATGTGAAATTGAGTTGGATACTTGGATCTCAACAATACTGAATGAAACTACTGTAATTTAAATCAAATTCAGATTTATATTCTTTTTTTTTTAAGCTAAGCAGGGGATTTTATTAACATATATAGCAAAATGTGTGAATGCCATTCCCTCAAATTGAACTCAATTGCTGACGTGGCGCTCTCCCATTGGTCAATTGGTGGTAGTCCTCCAATTGATTCCAATTTGCTGAGTTGTCGTTCTCTTATTCGTTGATTGGTGGTGGTCCTCCCAATTGCATATGAAATTGATGATGTGGCGAGTTTTGATTGGTTGAAAAGTGATAGTTCTCTAATTGCATATAGGATTGTACTAAAATTTTGCTTCTTTCTTTTTTATCCAACAAATCACATTAACAAAAAATTTGGATTCCTTTTTTTTTTGTTGTCCATCAAATCACATCTAATTACCAATTCTTTGCAATTAATTGTTAATTGGTAATAGTAGCTAATTTAATGTCGTGTTTTTTGTCATCATTCAACATATTACGCTTAATTTGTTTGTGCTAAAATTTTGCTTCTTTCTTTTTTGTCCAACAAATCACATTAACAAACAAAAATTGGATTCTTTTTTTTTGTTGTCCATCAAATCCCATCTAATGACCAATTCTTTGCAATTATTTGTTAATAACTAATTTAATGTCATGTTTTTTGTCATTCAACAAATCATGCTTAATTATCAATCTTTTTTTCTGGTTGTCCAACAAATCGCATCTAATTACACATTTTCGCAATTAATTGTTAATTAAATGTCATGCTTTTTGTCATTCAACAAAACACGTTTAATTAACAACAATTTTCAATTATTAGAACAAGATTGCCTTCTTTTTTGTGGTTGCCCAAAAAACCACCTTTAATTAACAAATTTTTTTGTCACCCATCTAACAAAATTTGCCTTCTTTTTTTGTGGTTGCAAAAATATGCATTACTTATAAAATTTTTTCAAGTGCCATAAAAAATGTCCTCTTTAATTAATTTAACCACTTCTAATGTTATTGAAACGGTGCTATATCCTCTGCTTTTTCTGTTTTTTGCCAACAGAGGACAAAACAAATGATAATTATCAATTTTTACAATTGATTGTTAGCAATTAGTTATTGCCTGATTAGTGCCAGTATGTTGGGTTAACAAAAAAAGGTTCTTTTTTTTCCCTAGCACTCATATTTACCTATTAATTTCGCTGTGCTAATTGTCGGTAGTTAATTAATTTCTCGTTCCATTTATTCTATTGTCCATGGTTTAATTGTTGGTCTTTCCTCATCATTCTATTTATTATTGATAATGGTTACCTATTGTTAAATAAAACAAATTACCTATTGTTAATGTAAATAATAAAAAAAAATGCCTCTCTATTCATATTTTCCAAAGAAAAAGCTTCTCTCGTACATTTGCCTTGAAAGTTGCACTTTCCCGTTACTTGCATCGATCTTAGAATCTATTTTCTGCCTCAGCCATCACCTCCGATTACTTTCATTTGGTGGGGAGTTGTGTTTGATGGGAAAATTGGGATGTCTATTTTCCAATATTACCCACCCTTTCTCTTTCAATTTGCTCTCTCTCTGTCTCTCTCGTTGCTGTTTCTCCTTTTTAATTTCTTAATCATGGTCATCTTTGTAAAAATGGCGTGGCCGTCACTGTGGAGTGCTGCAAACCATCACCTTTCAGCCTTGCTCAATTCGGGGTTAATCTGGTGCTTTCCCTTTGTACAGTGGTTCTTCGCATTGCCTGATTTGCTCTGCCAGAACTTCGGCGGCTTGCCATCATGATCAGTGGTAGATGTGCAACTGCTGCCTTGTTTCTTCTTATCCCTTATTGTTGCTTTTTCGCTGGACAGAAAAAAAAATTGCCCACCAGCTTGCTTCTCCTCTTACTCTTGCTTCTTTTAACCTTTTCCGTTGCTAAATTTCTGAATCTGTTTCTGCTTGCAGAGCTGCTATTGCTGCTGTGTTGCTGGTGAGTGCCTTGCCCCAAACTCATTTTACTTATTCTTTCTGCATTTGTTGAGTTTTTTTTGAAAAGAAATTAGCTTATTACCTTGTTACTTTCCTTCCTTATCCATTTCTTTTTCCCCTTGCGCACCAGTTTTATTTTTCTGAATTTTTTCAGCTTGCTGAGTTGCTATTGTTGCTGTACAGCTGGTGAGTGTCTTGCTCCAAGCTCACTTTTTATTTGTTCTCTCTGTATTTCTTGGGTTTTTTTCCAAAAAATAATTAGCTTATTACCTTGTTATTTTTTCTCCTTTATCAATTTCTTCCTTTTTCGGCGCACCAGATTAACCCCTTTAATTTTTTCATTGCTCTTCAACTTATTAACACAGGTTTATTTTCCCCTTGACAGTCCTTTTAATTGCTCTTCAATTTTATTGTGGCTCCGCCTGCTCTTATTTGATTCTGCCCTGTCTATTTTCTACAGACAAACAAGTTAGTGCTTCTGGTTCTCCTCTGTTCCCTCTTTCTTTTATATTTTGCAATTTAGCTTCCGTCTCCATTACTTGTATTTCCTGCTATGTCGTTAGTTGCATCCTGTTTGCGTCTCGCTTCTTGACCTTTTGAACTGCCGGAACTTAGTTACTTCTTCCCAATACTTTTGAATGACTGTTTTTGGCCTAACAAGGAGTTATTCAGCTCCTGTTCGTGTACTATTACACTTGAAGGATAAAAAAATACAGCCAGCCTTGCATTGCATACTGAACTACCTTTTGTTGATTATTTTATGCACCTATTTCGCTTTTTCCTGATTATTTGTTTGATGGTTCCTTTCTTATCTTCCTGCCCATTGCTTGCTTATTGATTTTAGCTTAGTGTATTACAGAACTGTTTTTTTTTTTCGCTTAAACTTTTCCTTTCTATATATGGTCCTTTGCCGTTGTACACTTTAGCCAATTAAAGTGATTGGGTAAGAGTTCTACTCGCCGCAAAAAGTACGCACAGATGCCAGAATAGAAAAAAATGAACTTCTCCGCTAGCGGAGAGAAGCTAGGGCCGCCAAGAAAACAAAAAAACTCCTAATTGTGAACATTGTGGAGCTAAGAGGTTCTATTTGGAACCTCCTAGCTTTTGTTGCTCTGGCGGAGAGATCTCTTTAGTTATTCCAGCAATGCCTTATGATCTTAAGCGTTTGTTTATTGGAAATGATGAAGAAAGCACTCACTTTAGGAATAATGTTCGAACCTATAATAATAACCAGGGATTTACATCCTTTGCTGCGAGATATGACCCGGAATTGACCAAGAATACGAAAGGTGTTTACACCTTTCGTGTTCAAGGCCAAGTCTATCACTTCCTCAACGGTTTGACGCAGCCAACCGACAAACCATCTGGAATTCAGTTCTACTTCTTTGACACTGATGAGGAATTAGCAAAAAGAATTGGAAACTGTGAAAAGCTGCGCAAAAGCACTTTAAAATTGCTGATGCGCATACTTTTGAACAATCCTTACACCAAATTCTTTAAAAGCCTCAGGGATATACCGAACCTTGATAGGTATAAAATCATCCTTAACTGTTATCCTGGTTTAGACCAGCGTGTCTATAACCTGCCATCTGCCTCGCAAGTTGCTGCCATTTGGACTGAAGATGAAAATGAAACTATAGACAGAAGTACTCATATCCAGGTCTATACTCACTCACATACCAGCCATAGGATTAAGCATTACTATGGCTGTTATGACCCTCTACAGTATCCTATTCTTTTTCCTCGAGGTGAATGTGGATGGCACCACGGTATTAAGAGACTATATAAGAGGAAAAGAAATGGGGACTCCTGTGAGGACGACTGTAGCGTTGATCCTTCTTCTGTTAATGACCCTTCGCACTTAATGGACTTAGAGCGCAGAGGCAAGTACCTCACTTACTGCTTGTACCCTATTAAATATTAAACTTATAAAACCTTCTTCATCAATCGAATAATTGTGTCTTATATAGCTGTTGATCGAGGGAAGCGCGAGGGGGACACGGTATCGATTAGAGAGTATTATTGCTACAGATTTCAGATAAGAGATGATGATGAATCGATGTTATTGCACTGCCTTAGGCTTCTACAGCAATTTTCTGTTGATTCTTATGTGAAGATAGAAACTTCAAGGTTGGACTTCCATAGGCATCAACAAAATGTAATAAGATCGGAGATCCTCCAAGGAGTCTTGGACAGTGTTTCTATAGGGCAGTCCGAAGGATCCAGAGTTGGTCGTAAGGTAGTTCTCCCATCCTCTTTTATAGGTGGTCCAAGAGACATGAGACGCCGGTATCTTGATGCAATGGCGCTCGTTCAGAAATATGGTAAACCTGATATCTTTCTTACCATGACCTGCAATCCAGCATGGAAAGAAATTCAGGACAATCTAAAGTATCATGAGAAACCGCAGGATAGACCAGATCTTCTGGCCAGAGTTTTTAGAGCTAAATTTGAGATGCTTAAATCTGAAATTTTGAATAAGCAGATTTTTGGTGAGGTCGCGGCATGTGTCTATGTTATTGAGTTTCAAAAACGTGGATTTCCCCATGCTCATTTACTCCTGATCTTAAAACCTCAGTCCAAGCTGCTAAATCCAGAATCATATGATAAGGTCGTGTGTGCGGAGTTACCTGATCGTACTCGCTATCCTCACTTATACAATCTTGTTGTCAAACATATGATCCATGGTCCTTGCGGATCTATGGATAAAACCTGTCCTTGTATGAGAGATGGTACCTGCAAAAGTCATTATCCCAAAGATTTCTGTCCATATACAACTCATGCTGAAGATGGTTACCCATATTACAGAAGAAGGGATGATGGCAGAAAAATAAAGGTCCGAAGGTTTACTCTCGATAATAGGTGGGTTGTGCCTTACAACCCGTACCTCCTTGCTTTGTTTGATTGCCACATAAACGTCGAGATCTACTCTACTATAAAGTTGGTCAAGTACCTGTACAAATATGTGTTTAAAGGTCATGATCTGGTCTCCTTTAAGGTTGTCGCTGATGGTGGTCCTCCTGATATTGATGAAATTAACGAGTTCCAAAAGGGTAGATATATTTCGCCTTCGGAAGCTTTTTGGCGCATCTATGAATTTCATCTAAATGAAATGACTCCGTCTGTTTATACACTCCAGGTTCACCTTTCAAATCAGCAGTTTGTCTCCTTTGATAAAAATTCAGATCTCTTGTGGTTATTAGCCAAGGCTGATTTTTCAAAGACCATGTTAACTGAGTTTTTCAAAATGAATGCAACAAATGCATTGGCTGAAAATCTTAAATGTTTCTATAGAGATTTTCCTCAGCATTTCGTTTGGACTGCTAAGTATAAACACTGGACAGAAAGGAAACGTCGGAAAGTGATAGGTAGACTTGTCAGTGTTAGTCCAACTGAGGGAGAACGGTATTATCTGCGTCTCCTTTTAAATCATGTTCCTGGACCAACATCGTTCGATGATCTCCTAACTGTGAACAACCAAAAAATGAACTCGTTCAGAGATGCTGCTTTTGCGCTTGGTCTATTACAATCTGATTCGTATATAGACGAGACACTTGAAGAAGCTGTTGCATTTCAGATGCCGTCTTCACTCAGACTTTTATTTGCCACTCTTCTGGTATATTGTTCTCCGACTAATCCCAAAATATTATGGAAAAAGTTTGAACCGGATTTCTCTAGAGATTATGAAAGACAGCATCAATATCATCCGTGCTCTCCCGACGAAATTAGGGGACTTGTTCTGACTGATATTAATAGATTTCTTGAGCAGATGGGTAAACATATTACTGACTACCAATTGGTACCGCATGATCTCATGAATGCATATAGAACATGCCTGACAAAGGAGATTGTGTATGAGAGAAGCATCAGCGTACTGCCGGAGGATATATTGCTGTCTTCCAAATTAAATTCTGAGCAGAAATATGCTTATGATATAATCTTGCAAGCATGTTTCTCTTCTCATGGCCGTTCTTTCTTTATTGATGGCCCGGGGGGTACCGGTAAAACATTTTTATACCGGTCGCTCCTCGCTACTTTGAGATCAGAGGGTCATATTGCCATTGCAGTGGCGACATCTGGAATTGCAGCTTCTATCCTACCTGGAGGAAGAACTGCACATTCAAGATTTAAAATACCCCTTGATTTTTCAAAGAACAAAACTTGCCAGCTTAGCAAGCAGGGTAGCTTTGCGAAGTTGCTCTTTGAATCCAAATTGATCCTTTGGGATGAGGCTTCAATGGCCAGACGAGAAACTGTTGAGGCATTTGACGATTTATTGAGAGATGTTATGGAATCTAGCCTGCCTTTTGGAGGCAAAGTTGTTGTCTTTGGGGGGGATTTCCGACAAACACTGCCTATAATTGAGCAGTCAACAAAAGATGCCCTTCTGCATTCATGCTTTCTTAATTCTCCGTTATGGCCTGAACTTCAAAAGCTAAAGCTGTCAGAAAACATGCGAGCTATATTAGATCCTCAGTTTTCAGAATTCTTGTTGAGTGTGGGCGAGGGAAAGGAACCTGTTGACCTGAATGGTGAAATAACCCTCCCTCCAGATTTAGTCATCCCTTATTATGATAGAGAACAGTTCCTAAACAGGTTAAATAATACGCTTTTATGCTTCCTTATCTGTTTACCTTACACCTATATAATTTCTAACTATATTCCTCTATTAACAGGTTAATAGGTTGTGTTTTCCCAGATTTAACTCTCTATTCTCGGGATCCTTATAGTATGATTTCTAGGTGTATTCTTACTCCTAAAAACAGCTCAGTTGATGAGCTAAATGATATTTTAATTAGGAGATTTCCTGGCAAGCTGTATACTTACACTAGCACGGACAGAACTGTTGATCAGCGGCACCAAGGTGATTATGAGGATTTTCTTAACTCTCAAAATCCAAAAGGCCTTCTTCCTCACAAGCTAATGCTAAAGGAAAACTGTCCAATTATATTAATGAGGAATCTTAACCCTCTAGAAGGCCTTTGTAATGGTACTAGGGTCATATGTAGACAGCTTGGCCATCACACTATTTCTGCTGAGATTGTTTTCGGCCAGCATCAAGGCAAGATAATCCTAATTCCAAAGATGCCTCTACAGACTCCTGATAATGAAAAGAATGGCGTTCCATTCATAAGAACACAGTTTCCAGTCCGCCTTTGCTTTGCATTGACCATCAACAAGTCCCAAGGACAAACTCTTGACTATGTTAGCATTTATTTACGTGAACCTGTTTTTTCTCATGGACAGCTCTATGTGGCTCTGTCCAGAGCCAGAACTTCATCTGCACTCAAAATTCTCATTGTTCCAGGCACCTTTGATGGTACAAAAAAAGACTGCAAAACTAGAAATGTTGTATTTAATGAAGTTTTTCAGTTCAGTTAACTATATATTTATCTTGCATTCAGGTATATCTAGATAACCTCATTCCTTTGTTTACTTGTTAATGTCATTCCGTTCACAGGCACCTTTTCCAGATTACAACTCTTTTGCCTTCTTTTTTTTGCAGGATGGCTAACATGTTATCGATCAGAGATATCGCTCCTGATATGAATAATTGGTGCTGTCTTGTAACTGTTCAAGAAAAGCAACAAGTTACTGGTTCAATGGGAACACCGACCAAGAAACAAAAATTGATCTTCTATGACTCAGAGGTTATGCTTTACAACACCTTTTTCAAGCATAGCACTTCTTCAATCTAACACTTGCTTTAATAAACTGTTTCAATTGATCTTCTTAACAGGGTTCTAGAGTAGAAGGCATCATTTTCAATGCTGACATTCCTAAGATGAGTCCTATTCTTCAAGTTTATAGAAAGTACAAGATTTCAAATGCTGATGTCAGAAATATTCCGCCAAAATTTCAGACATCTGGCTTGACTATGCAATGGGTGATCACTGCTAGGACTGTTATTGAAGAAATTAATAGAGAAGAAGACATCATGCCTGTTAAATTTGCCTTCACGGAGTTTGCAGATTTAGCTCAATACATGGATGACAAAAGCAAGTCTGTGGGTAAGTTTTATCTGCTTTTGAAGTACAAGGTAGGCCTAATCAAACTGATTATACCTTTTCTGACCTACCTTTTGCTGTTTCGTAGACGTTCTGGGAGTTGTAATCAATTCGTTAGAGAAGAAAACGGTAACTACGAGCTCCAAACAGTCAAGTGTTCAGAAATTTGTCCTCCTTAACGAAGAGTAGGCGTCATCTTTTTATAATCCTATCGCTGCTTTTTGCTAGCTGTATCTTGTTATTTTTGTCATGCTCTTTGTTTCTCTGAATGCTGACTTATATATCGATGTCAATACTAGGTCTCAAACAGTGATGCTATCTTTGTGGGATGACTTCTTGAACAATGAAGGCCAGATTTTATTGAATAACATTCAGACCTATCCTGTACTTATTAGGCGAAGATTAAGAGTTAACAACTATAACGGTTCGCTGAAATGCTACCTTTCTTCTGTATAATAACGTTTATTTATTTATTTTAATACTTGCAAATAGTGCCTGAAATCTTTCGCTGTTGTTTGTCTTGTAGGAGTTTCACTCTCTACTTGGTTTGATTCTGCACTCCTTGTTGACCCACCCATACAGGAAGCAAGAGAGTTGAAAAATTGGTTCAATGCTTTTTCCTTTACTTTTTTCATAAGTATACAATACAACCTGTTCTCATTTCTTTTTCCTTATTCCCTCATTTCATCGTTCTTTGTGTAAGGCAATGAGAAATACTAAATTAATTGCGAGCCTAATTGAAACAAAGGCTTACATTAAATACAATCCTGAACTCTTTCTGAAAGCAGACCAGAAGACTACTTTAATTAGTAATATTTCTCTGTCGCAGAAGGTGCTGGGACTCTTTTGCTGATTATCTACTTTTCTTAAAATTGCGCGTGCATATTTAGCTTCTAATCTTATATCTGGTTACCTTTTAGACTGCACTGGTCAAGGCAAACATCTCTTTTGAAAACATTTTTCAGAAATATTGGTATATGAGCTGTGGAAAATGTAACCGTGCTACTGCAGCAGACTACGGCATTGAGTTCACCAGCAATTCATGCAAAGAGAAGAGCCCTGCTGTGCCCAGGTGCTATATTATTAAATCATCAGCATTAAAATTACTTATAAATTGTACATGATTTCGCCATACTTCAATCTATTACCTAATACACTATATGTTTACTTTTCAGATGCCGGTTCGACATTGATTTAAGTGATGCCAGTGGAGTTATACCAGCCTCCGTCTTTGGAGACCTGGCAGAGAAACTTCTCACATTCACCGCCCTTGAAGCAATGGATCATTTTAACCAGGTTATTTTAGCTTCCTGTCGTTGTTAATGAAAGCATTCTATTCACAATTCTCATTCCTTCTCTTGTGTTGCCTGTAGAATCAGGAGCTTCCACTTGAGCTTGTTCACAATGGCCTGAAAACAAAGACATTTCTGCTTCATCTTAAACCAGTCCAGACTCAATTAGCAGATGCCAGGCAACGTTATACGGTTTTGCATTATTCTGAACTTGAACAAGGAATTGATTCTGCTCATCCAATGGAACAACCAGCTGCTTTGCCTATCTCAGCTGAACACAGAATTGAGACTGCTCAACTGCTGACTCCAGGTTGGTCGCCATAGCTAAAATTGTGTCAAATAACTTCGTGTCTTACCAGTATATTTAGCCAGCCTTTATTCTTGTAGGAGAAAGCAACTCTGGCTCAAAAGCTCGCCTCCACCTCACTGATAAGTTTGATGAAGCCGAAACTGCTGGCGCTGATGACTTTCTGATTGCTACTGAGAATTCCAACAAGAGAACAAAATTGGGATGAATCACCTTTATCCCTTCTTGGACCGATGGAATTTGGATATTTTTTGAACTTTTTGTCTGCACTTGTAGATGCAAAACAGCAGATTGTTTGTTGCTTTTGAATGTGCTGCTGCTATAACTGTAAACCTTTTGCCTTTTGTGTATCGTCATCTGTTAATCAGCTTTTGTATCATCATTTAATATTGATGCTTACTCTTGTATCATTGTTCCTGCCAGCCCTCCAAAGATGAACTGCAATCTTCGATCCTGGATATCACGAAGATTTTTGCAAAAATCTTTGGATTCCTGGCAAGAAACCTGCTTTGTGCATCATGTCAACTTTAAAATTTATATAATTTGGAGTGCTTTTCTGTTCCTTTTCAGCTTTTTTTATGCAAATATTTCCATCACTTCTTTAACCCTCCAGTTATGTACGTACACTCCTTTAGTTATTGTACCTGTCAGCTTCTTTAGCACATAAACATTATACTTTCAGCTCCTGTTCCCCCTCTGTAGGATGATTCCTTAACTACATATATGACAGACATGACAAACGCATGCTTATTTATGAGTTTCCTTCAGTCAATTATACATTGCAAGTACAGGGTGGATGTTAACTTCATATTGTAGTCTTTTCATGCACTGAATGGTCTTTACTTGCGTTGAATGGTTCCCTGCCTACTAAATAGCATTGAATGGTCTTTTCTATTAGCTGTTGGTTACCATCCTCTGCTGCAACCAATAAATTTCTTCGCTAATGGTACACAACAGGTCTCCACTCGGCATTAAAAGCACCAGTAAAAAGTGTATATCTGTGCTTTTAAATATTCATAAGATGAAGCTGCTTTGCACTTGCATGCTTCCTTGAATTGGTGCCTTGCTTTTCTCCGCTTCTTCAATCTTTCTTCCATTAGGTCAATGTCAGAAACAAGCTGCACAACAGCACCAGACCTTCATCTCGCTTATAACAATTTAGCAGCTTGTTGTTTTCTTCTCAAGTGCATCCATAGAGGACAGGTTCGGCCGTTTCTTTATACACATCTAGATGATTAAATTTAAATATTTATGACAGAGACTTTATCAACATTATTTATATTCTTCATGTTATCCAGATATTTCCTTCTCAATTTGAATTATTACTTGCTCAACCCCGGTCCAGCACAATCATTCTCAGAATTGGACTGCAACAATGGCCTATAATGGTCACTAACCATTCATTTGGAGATGGCTGGGATGATTTCTGCGAACACAATAGCATTAAAAGGCATGACACAATATTACTTCGCCATGCTGGAGGTCTAATGTTTGACGTTATACATTTTTCTGAACTGCAAACACAAGTTTACATGCCTTGGACAGCTCCATTGCCAAATCTTTTACAGACAAGTTATTCTACTTTGCAAGGTTCCAGCACCATTCTACCTATCATATATTCTAATATATACAATATATTACTTCTAATTCAGTACATACTTCATAATTATTGCTAATAACTATGCAGACACTAGGCAGCATCATGTAGCTTCCTCAATGCACCCAGATCTATGTCAGAATTTATCCGAATCTGTATGCTTTTACCAGAATTTCCATTCAGCGACTCCGAACACCTTGGTAGACAATACTGTCCTTACTTTCATTCTTTTGGTCTCTTTCTAAGAAACCTCCTTCTCTTTCCACATACACTCTAATTTTGATCTATTACTACCAGCAAATTCCACGCTTTGTTGATCATTTTATAAATCGCGAAAGAACTCCCACGTTGCTTATCAAAACTGGACATAGAACCACTCAGATTGGTGTCAAGCATGGCCGCCTTCAACGAAATTGGAGAACTTTCATTCTTGACCACCAGTTGCAACACAACGAAGTCCTTGTGTTTATTCCAGAATCAGAAACTGTCTTCACGGTTTTAATCTTTGATGATACCGGTGTTGAAAAAATTTTCCCATGGTATCACACGTTTAATGGTTATTCAGATGCCTAGAAATCCAGCTTCAATATATGATGTACTCTGCTTATCATTAATTAAATAAAAGCAATTTGCCATTTTCCATCAACTGCAACCTTTATTTTCATTGGACTGTATGAAATATATATATATATATATATATATATATATATATATATATATATTCTTATGTCTTACTTTTTTTAAAAACAATTATATCCCATGTCTTCTTCCTGTGAAAAAATGAATTATTTAAACACCAGTGATGGTAATATAAAAAAATTTCCTTCACTTATTTTTACAATTATCCATTACCAAATTAATCACATATTAAATGCTCAATGCCAATAGTAGTTCTTAACTGATCAATCTTAACAAATAAAACATACAATTAATTGCCTTTTGCATATTGTGTAACTCTTGATATATTAGCTGCCTTTCCAATTAGCTAATATCACCAATAAATTACAATTAAATTGGGCAGTACTGGGCATAATGCATTCATCCACCGCGCATCGCGCAGTGATTCCCCTCCTAGTATTCTTTTACGTGTGAGGAATTGGAGTTTGGGGCTTTGTGAGACCTCTTGTCTGGGGTTCCTCGGCCAGTGGTTGCGGTGCTGGCGAGGGAACAAGGCCTTGAGACGTTGGAAGTACTAAGATGTTGTAGTATTTCACTCAGATGGTACGAGGAACCGGACAAGCTGATAACAAGTTATGGAATGAGATGGAATAAGTAGGACGAGATCTATAACTATTGCCCAAGTTATGGACTGTAACATAAAGATTTTCCTTTGGCAAATTTTGGACCAACCCTCCAGGTTCGACCAAATTATTAATATGTCCAATTTTCTGTGGAGTCAGCAATGATTTGTTGCGAAAAACTAGTCTGGTCTAGGGGAGTATTTCCAGCCACAAAAGGTGAAGAAAAGGTTCAGTCAATGCATCCATCACTTCTAGAAATAACTTGCTAAATCTTCTTACCTCCTGATGAAGCTAAAATTTGATTTAAAAAGCAAAAGGGAAATTACCAAGGAAGATTGTTCCTCTACTACAGGTCCCCGGCTGCCAGACATCAGTTTCCAGATGTAGTAAGTTGGATGACAGCTTTTACAGTAATGACATTTTTGGATCAACTGATATTCTTAACTCCCACGTTCCTGCAGGTGTACTGAATTACTGATCACGATACAACTTGTCTAGGTTTAACCTACTATATTACAGCAATGAAAGACTTATAGTCCTAGTCATCCTGTTCATGAAAAGTTGTCTCTTTCTTATCTTCTTTACCAGGACCATAAGCCTTGTTGCAAATGAGGAAATAAATCATGTTAAGCATACTTAAGCCAGCAAGCACCCAGTAGTAATAATCATAGTGACCCTTATTGACATTGGTCGAAATCCAGCTTTCCTTTTCTCCCAGTTTTGAGAGTTCGTCGATGGCATTCATAAGAAAACTTGCTACAAGATTTGCCGCAGACATCCCAAGTAAGGAAAGAGTGGAAGATATACTTGACATGCTTCTTGGAAACTCGGAATAATAGAACTCATTCTGTGCAGTTGCACTTGCAGCTGCTGCAGCGCCGATCAGGAAAAACTGGGGAAGAAGCCAAAGTACTGACATGTCCACCACTGCATCTGAATCATCTGAATATCCTTCCCTGATAGCCAGACTACGTCGTTTGGCCTCCACTGTTGCTGCCACTACCATGCCTAGAAAAGACAGGGCCATTCCAATTCCCATTCTTTTCCTTGTGGAGAGATGAACAGGTCTCCCCAAAATTCTTGATGCAACAGGCAGGATTATCTGAAGATAAAGAGGTATCCATATTACTGCACCGACAACGCCAAACATACTACAAGAACCTGCTGGCATTTCAAAGTTTGGACTAAATTTTCGGTTCATGGACTTTGCTTGAAATACGGAAAATGAGCTCTGACTGCTATTTACTGACATTATCATTCCTGTGGACCATAAGGGGATCACTTTGAGAATCGACTTCAGGTCCTCAACTTGATTTACTGTGCAAAGACTCCAGGGATCTGCTGCTGTTCCATCTGTTGTCAAGTCTCTCTCAGGATCTATGATGATGCAAGCTTTATTTAAGAACCTGGAAGACAAATTATTGAAGCTTCCATAAGAGAAATATTGTTTAAAAGACCTAATAGGAACTTCTCTCTTGAATGTTCAAACTCCAAATGACTTTAAAGAAAAACACTCAGACTCAAAAAATGCTTTTACAAATTGTTGAATTCGCCACCACATGAAAAATAAAATAGGATTAATTGCAAACCAATTATAGCTACCAAATACAGGCAACCTTGTATAATCAAAATAAGTTGCCAAGAACTTGAAATTATTCATATATGTGAATAAAGAAAGAAATACAGAACATTAAGATCAAAGGGACACTACTGTGAGGATTAAAATACACTCACCTTAGTTTTTCACTTGGAAGACAAATTGCTGGACCCCTGTGGTGATGGTACAGCATTTTCAGGCATTCTGTTGACAATTCTATATGCCGTTTCCGATAAGAGGCTACAGCCACTTGAAGCATTTCGACAATTAAACTTGATTTAGCCTTCAACTTGACATATAAGTGCGAAGCCAGGGAGAATGACAGAGTTGACAACAACATGAGCATGACTGGAATGCCAAAACCAAGTTGCCATCCCAAGTTGTCTTGTACGTAGACAATGCAAGTAAAAGCAATTAAGATAGAAATTGTGCATAACGCATAGTACCAGCTGAAATAGGACTCCAGAACCCATCCATTGTTCTGCCCACCTGCTTTTTGTAACTGATCAGCACCAAAAGCTAAGGATGAAGACACAATTCCTCCAAATCCAATAGACGTGAGTCCAAGACAAGAACACAAGAGAAAGAGTTGAAAACTTGTCGCAGAGCTACATTTGTTATCCGATTCATAACATGGAAGCGGCTTTGCTTGTGGAATCATAGTTGTTAGCCATAAAAGAGCCATTCCCTTCAATCAAAGTAGAAACTCATTTTTAGATGATTCCATTAAAATCTGAAATAATATAGTCAATTTGAAGAACTGAATAATGCACCCCTCTGTATTAGTGGTCAGTAGTGTAATTCTTTCTGGCAGCAGCATGATTACTTCCGTGCATCAACAAGTGAAGCCTAAAAGAAAGATGCAGAGGATTTAACTTCTTTAAGTTTTACTAGTGTGATGTGCAACAAATTATCTTCTAAAAGTCAGGGGTTCTTTTTCAGTTTTCTTCACTGCACATGAAAGATCAATGGAGCAGGATTTGTAACTGAAAATTAAAATATAAAGCTGTTGTGTGTGTGAAGAAACTAATGGCCTGAATTTTGGGATGACATCATGCCATATATATATGATTGGAATCCTCTTCAGAAAAAAATGATGATTATGTAAAATGAGAGTTGCTAGAAAGCAGAATTAGACAAGAATTGTAAAACATGCCTTTTCTGCAATTTTTTTCACCAGTTTCCTATGTAAACATGTTGGTTCTTAATTGAAATGATCATGATTCTAACCACGGGGTCGGAACAGATAAAATTTTGTCACTGCATGAAGATACAAAGTCAGAAATGATGTATTTTTCTGACCAAAAAAAAAAGCATCTGAGACCGGCAGGAAAATGATTTACACCACTCTTAAGCAACAATGATGAAATTTTAAAGTACACCCCAACTCCCCCTTCTCACAAGATCATTTGAATATTCTGGTACTTTTTTTTTTGGTGGCAAGTGTATTATAAAAAAGCTAAAGTATCCGTTGGACTTGCCAGTAATTGATATCGAATTTCTCGCAAGAGTATTTGAAATAAATGCCATGGAAGAGAGACTGATGTTTCTCACTCTTAACCACAATTTTCTCTAGAAATTTAGCCATTTTCTGGGAGAAACCTGATAGATTCAAAAATGATATGAGAAAGCCTTTCCTCCTTCTTTAACTATGTGATCCTGTACAGAATTGAAATTTCGTGACACATGCCTAATTACACCTCCATTGCAGCCATCTGCAGAATAGTTGCTTAGCTTCTAGATTATAGTCTGGATGCCAAAACTAAAATGCTCACAACTAAACAAGGCATTTTTAATTGTTCTTTGATCCATCCTGGCCGCCAGATTGTAAATCAAAGAAAAAAGCCAGGGATACTCTATAAAATTCGTCCATTTTCACAGTACAATCTGAAGTTGAAAATGACATGATGGATGAAAATGCAAGAAATCGGAACAAACAGCTTCTTGTGCTATGAAAAATTAAACATAATCAAAATAAATATTAACTACTGAAAACACTGAAGTGTGTAAATGGGGTATTTACCAGAAGACTAATAGCACAACCAAATAAGATCATCCGAAATCGACCCAGAAATGAATCTGCAACTATAGCACCAAGAAGGGGCATCAAATTTGTTGCTGCTGACCAAAGAAAGATTATGTTGGACCCAGTAGCCATGTTCAAATGATACTCTCTTGTCAAGTACAGAATCATGTTAGGCTGTAGCCCATAGCTTGCCACCTGCGCAAAAGCCTCATTTGCTGCCCCCGGAAAAAAACCATTAAAACACAGAACGGTTAATTCTTAATAGAAAATTTCACTAAAACATTCCTCAATAAACTTCAATTAAACAAAGACACGTAGAATGAGAATCAGATATAGCCAGTTTAATAAGTGTCGTTTGTTTCTTGTTTTCAAGGTGAGGTTTCAGTCCTCACCGTCCCCCTTTCCACCCCTCCCCTTCTACAAATTCAAAGGAAAAGGAGTTACCTAAAATGAATGGCATGGTTCTGAAGCCACCCTTTGCTGAAAAACAGTCATGATCATCGTTAAGTAAAGGCTTTGTAATCATACTTTCTTGTTCATCATCAGCAGAATTCTCCGTCATGCATGTAGGGACTTCTTCTTCTACTGCAATAATATGTGTCGAGTATTTTGATCTTGATTCTCGTCCAACAACCATACTGAGCACACTGGAAAACAATTACTAATATTTTATATGAATAATTTCATACTAAGCATACGACCTAAGCCACAGATGCAAACTACAAGATAATCCACCTTCTTCCGCTAGATTTTGCAGCTCCATAG